CAATCTAGCTGGCATGTTTTTTACTTTGATTTTGTTTATTCTGTTTTTTTATTCCAGTATTGCCATTTGGTTCTTCATGATATATTTCTTTGCTGAAATTTTCTATTCTATCATTTATTTTAAAAACAATTGCTTTTGAAACAATTTTACTATGGCTGATTCACAGCTTTTCATGTAGTTCCAGTATATGATTCCTCTTGGTATTGTCACCCATTGATAGCTTTTCTTATTCTAGGTGTGCTTTTCTTGGTTGTTGGTATTCTGAGTGATTTTTAGTTGTATCTTTGATATGCTGGATAACATATTAGAAGACTATTGACCTTATTTAGATCTATCTTAGTAGGCAGTCCTCCAGTTCATGTTTAGGCTTCATGTGTGCTGGCATGGATATATCAAGCATGCAGTTGCCTCTGTGTGTTTGGGATGTAGGATGGGTCTGTCTGCCTGGGCTCTGCTGATTTTGCCACTGGGAACAGATCTAGCTTGCCGCTGTCACTGTGTAGGTGTGAAGATTTTGTATAGTTTTAAAATAAGGCAAATGGTCACAAGATGGAGATGTATGTCTGGAAGTTAATAATATATAGACACATTAATAGGAGAGAATGTGTTGTCACTAAAGCTTTTGTAGTAAAGGATTGATAAAGGAACCAGAACTGATCCTAGAAATCACTAGAATTTAATGAGAAGGGATTAGAAAATTCATCGAAAGATAATATTAGAGAGAAACCAGGAATATTAGTACTGTGAAAATCAGTGAGGAAGAGGAGAGTTTGAACTAAGGATGGTTAATATGGTTGGATATTTAAGAGAAATCAAGGTGAGGAAGTGTCAATTAAGATATTTTTCATTAACTTAGAAAAACATAAATGAAATATTCAGAGTTGACATCAAATAAATGCTGTTAATTACATCAGTTCAGCAGTTCTATATGTTCAGGAAATGAGTCTGAGAAAGAAAAGATGATGATAAAGTTGTCAGAGATTTAGAATTATAGAAAGAATTATTTGGAGGGAAAGGAAATCATGGTTATTCATAGGCATAAGAGGATGAAGAAGAAGATACTGCAGATAGAGGAAAAGAAAATGGAGTAACGTACAAATAATGTTATGGTGATGGCCAAATCTGAATGTCTTTTGATATATGAGGTATAAAGATAAAACTGAGGACAGTATTTGTAAAACATTTAGGAATGTATCTTCATGTACTCTTTTTTCAGGATCATTGTTTTTATCAAGGTTATGCTGCAGAAATTCCAAACTCAGCTGTGACACTTAACACCTGTTCTGGTCTCAGGTAATGGTGTATTTCAGTGATGTACATGATTGAAGATGCTGCATGACTCTTAATTTTCAGAAATTTCATAAATAGTAGAGTGAAGGCAAAGTAAATACAGACTTTGATTGTGTTTCTTCTCATATGTTTTTTTCCCTTCCTTCTCTTCCTCTAATCACTTGTCCTATTCTCTTTGTTTCTCTTCCAGGGTTTGCAATTATAAAATTTACCCAGAAAAAAACCCACAATAGCATTAAGAATATTTACTTTTTTTTCTGTGTTTTTGTTCCTTTTTTTGTTTTGTTTTGTTTAGGTGAAAATGTTGTTGTTGTTGTTAGGTGCTGTTGAGTTGGTTCTGACTCTAGTGACCCTGTCTACAACAGAACAAAACACTGCCGAGTCCTATGCCATCCTCACAATCGTTATGTGTGAGCCCATTGTTGCAGCCACTGTGTCAGTCCGTCTTGTTGAGGGTCTTCCTCTTTTTTGCTGACCCTCTACTTTATCAAACATGATGTCCTTCTCCAGGGACTGATCTCTGCTGATAACATGTTCAAAGTCTGTGAGATGTAGTCTTGCCATCCTTGCTTCCAAGGAACATTCTGGTTGTACTTAAAGCAGATACACCACTTCAACAATTTCTACAGGTACAATTAAGTGACATTGATTACATTCTTCAAGTTGTGCAACCATTCTCTCTAACCTTTTCCAAATTATTTCACCATCGTTAATTTTACTGCCCCCTTAAGCTTCTCATCTAACCTTTTGATTTGCTGTTGTCAATTTGATCTCACGTAGATAATTCCCTAAAAGGGTACAATGCTCAAGGCAGACACACTTTACTAATTTAAGGTGAACTATAGTTTGGTTCAAACAAGACTTTAGGAGATAGTTTTGGTTTTAAGTTTAAAGATTATCTCGGGGCAGTAGTTTTAGGACTTCATCTAGTAGCCTCAATCACTGCAGAAATAGAAATATTTTACATAAATTTGATAGTGATATTTGTGGTCTAATTTCTGTGAATTATCCCACAGATTAACTTTCAAACCCATATTTCATATTTTCTTCTATTATGGCAGTCGTTCTAACAGAACAAGGGGATATCGTGTGGTTTAAATTCAGGAAAAGTGTGTGTCAGAGTTGTGTCCTTTTGCCATACTTATTCAGTCTGTATGCTGAGCCAATAATCCAAGAAGCTGAACTATATGAAGAACAACGCAGCGTCAGGATTGGAGGAAGACTCATTAACAGCCTGCAATATGCAGATGACACAACCTTGCTTGCTGAAAGTGAAGAGGACTTGAAGCACTTAGTGATGAAGATCAAAGACCACAGTCTTCAGTATGGATTACACCTCAACATAAAGAAAACAAAAATCCTCACAACTGGACCAATAAGTAACATCATGATAAATGGAGAAAATATTGAAGTTGTCAAAGATTTCGTTTTACTTGGATCCACAGTCAACACCCATGGAAGTAGCAGTCAAGAAATGAAATGACGCATTGCATTGGGCAAATCTGCTGCAAAAGACCTCTTTAAAGTGTTGGAAAGGAAAGATGTCATCTTGAAGACTGAGGTGCGCCTGACCCAAGCATAAGGTCACTCTGAGTCAGAATTGAGTAGACAGCACCTAGCAACAACAATGGCATTATGTAGTATTTGTGGTTCTTGTGTGGCTAAGAAATGTGAATCTTTTATAGAAGAATGTGCTTAGTCACACTAGAATCACAACTGCTACTAAATGCCGTAATAGAAGAAAGTATAAACTACGGGCTTGAAAGTTAATTCATTGGATGATTCTTAGAAATTAGACCTCAAATATCATTATCAAATTTTTATAAAATTTTTCTGTTTAATATTTATTTACGTTTCTCAATGGGAAACATATTGGTTGCCTTTTAATTTCCTCTTTCATTGAAATTTCAGGGGATTATTGCAGTTGGAGAATGTCAGTTATGGAATTGAACCATTACCATCTGTAGGTACATATGAGCATATGCTTTATCAAATAAGAAATAAGAAAATCGACTTTTCCCCTTCACAAGGAAATTACCATATGAAACAATCTGAGGATCAACTTAACAGGATTCTTGTGAAATCAGAAGTGAGTAACTCTTTTAATGACATCTTTATTTGAATTTTGTTAAAGTTATTCACCTTGAAATTTTGAAATTTCTTCTATTTGACAAACAAATTTGAATATTGACTATATAAGGCCTTCTGTTGTAGGATATTTATTTTAAGAATAGTTTCGTGTTTATTATTATCATATTAGAAAACATGTACTTTCAAAATCATCAAAATTATGGCAGCATATTTCTTTAATTGCGGTGATTTTATACGTATGTATATACTTGCATTGTCACTAAACGTGCAGTCTCACTAATATGTTCCTAACTTTGATTGTTACTTTATAAACATTTTCACTTGCTAATAAATTTTCTTTGTAAAAAATATTATTTTGATAGAAAATATAAAAACAGAAATAGGTCAAGACTATACAATAGAAATTGTCCCAAACTCCATCGTTTAGAGATAATGCTCTTAGAGTTTTGAGTATTTCTTCAATCCTTTTCCTATTCATAGATATAAATACTTATTTGTAAATATATAGATGCTTTTCTTCCAAACATGATCTTAGTATATTATCTGATTTGAAATTTCCTGTTTGCTCTTAAGGGTATAATTTGCATTTGTAATTATTGTTAAATTGTACTACATTTATTAGCATTGCAAATTAAGTAATATTGTTTAGCATATCTAATAAAACATGAAATATATATTTATGTAAAGAAAAAGTGAAATAGGAATGGGCTACAATTCCATTTTATAAAGCTAAGTGTTGTAGAATCAGCTGCCATCATGGTTATGTATATTATTTTAAATCTTTTCTTACATATGTATATTCATTAATATATTGAAAATGTATATATTTCAAAAAATTATGGCATATTTTGCATATTTATGTATGCTAATCAATAAATGAACCTCATGGATGTATTAAATTTTTGAGCAATCCCACATTTCTTATAAATAACTACATCTAAGAATAGACATATTTCCCAATACGTTTATATGTATATGTATATATGCTAACTTACTTCTTTAGATGTTTGTATAACTTTACATTTGGTCATTAGTGGATAAATAAATGTATGTAAGTCCACACATTATCATTAAAACTGGATCTCACATTACAGAAAAGCAACACAAAATAGTAATGAATGAAACTTTAATATATGACAAATTTTATCTCACTGTTAATTTGATTTCTATTTATTTATTTTGGCAAAGATGTTGGTAGGAGTACGGGCTAAGAAAACTTCTCTTTCAGAAACTCACAGAAATGATAGAATAGAATCATATATAGAAACGAAAACTTCATTTTTAAAGAAACTGAGAAGTAGCCCCAAATTTCATGCTAGCTCTGGAAATTATTTACATGATGCAATACAATACTGGGCACAATCAAAGACAATACTACAACCGTAACAGAACATTATCACAGAAAGTAAATTGAAAACAAAAACAAAAACTTCAAAGGATTTTGTGAATCTTCTTCTGTGGTAGAATGAAAAGTTCTGAAATGATGAGCATGCTATGGGAGAGACAAATAACACACTACTCGAAGTCATCCCCCTGTAATGAATCTACAATAATAGAAGGATTGGAGGAGATACAGATAACTTGTATTCTCAGCCTCCTGAGTTTCAATTCCAGCACAATCAGTCTGTAGCCCCAAGAACTTGGGCAAGTTCTATAACCTTTCTCTGTTGAAATTTCCTCATCTGTGAAAAACAATAATAAAAATAATGCTTAACTCCTACGATTATTAAGAAAAAAAAATTGCCGTCAAGTTGATTCTAACTGATGGAGAACCAATGTGATGCAGAATAAAACTGCTCTGTATAGAGTTTTCTTGGCTGTAATCTTTACAGAAGCAGATTGTTAGATCTTTCTTCCAGGTTCACCGCTGGATGGGTTCAAACTACCAAACTTTAGGTTAATAGTTAAGCAGAAATCATTTGCAGTACCCAGAGACCTCAAGGATTAAGCAAATTAATAACTGCAAATTACTTAGAATAGTACATGGAGATATTCAAGTGCTCAATAAATATCTCTACTACTGCTATTAATTTTTGCCTAACATACTCCGAATGTAGTAGAGCAAAGTAATTGGAAGGGTCGCTGTTAGCCGGAATGGACTCGATGGCAGTGGGTTTGGTTCTTTGGTTTATGCAAAGTTTGGTTACAAAATAAAATACAATAATGAAATAAAATGAAGAGAAACAAAATTTTCAGAACCTAAAAAGAAACCTAGTAAGTTGCTATGGGAATGGGGATAACCTGATATTGCTCTGTGTTTATGAATTTTAAATCATCCATAAGGGAACTTATAAGTTCCTGTTCATAGTTAATATGATAAACTTATACCTGTGGGTTCAGTTAAACATATCTTCACATTTATGAAATCAAGAGCAAATAAACAAAGTGAATACTTTCAGTATAACTGTTTTTACAAAGAATACAATAAACAATAAATAATATAAAAGCTTATAACTTAAGCATGTTTGTGCGTTATGAAAATAAACACAAAAATAATTGTTAACAAAGTGGATGGGTTCATTATAACCAGAGTTGACTTTAAAAAAAAATCTGTTGAAACCATTTGCATCTATTATTATGTAAGAAAAATAAGAAAGAAATAATCAAGGGACATATGAATAAATATACATGTAACATTTCTACAGAAAAATACCAAGTTCAAAAATGAATTAAAAAATAATCAGTCTTATTGCAAAACTCAAAATATGTTCAAATAAATGTTCATATCTGAGTTCAAATAGCTAATTTAATATTTGAACTATATATAAAAAAGGAGGTAAATATGTTTTGACCCTAGATGGATGTAATAGTCTATATTCATGGACTGCCTCGTAGATGCCACATATTGTTCCACGAGCTTTGTGTGTTTCCATCATTCCAATTCTTTCAACAGTCCCGAGTTAGTGCTATTACCCCTTTTTTCATGATTAGGGAAGAGAATTTAAATGATAATACTAGGAAATCCTCTGGTAATTTCAGTTAAAATTTAAACCCAGATAATATGATTCCAAAGATGTGTTCTTTAGTACTCTAATTGTGTACCTCTAATACAGTGTGTTTAAAAGGTCCCTGGAAATGCCCAGGAAAAAAAAGAGAAAAAGAAAACTATTTTAAAATGAAAGATATAAGGAGAACTAGTGAATAACAGAATAGACACTATGCTGAAATCCCAATCTATAATTTTAAAGTAAGGTTTAAGGAAATGGAGAAAGCAGTATATAAAAATATGATGGCTGAGAAAATGTAAGTATGGAAGACTGATATTGGAAATTCACGACAACGTTGTCATTCATGAATAAGAGGATACAAGATTAGCACCAAAATATTCCAAGTTATTAAAGAGTAAAACCAGGTTGAAATAAAGAAGTCCTGAAACTTTCCAAGAAAATTGTCCCAAGAAACACTAATTAAAACTGGCAGTACTGAAATATAGTAGATTAATATATTGGACTTTATAGATAAATAATCAATAATCCTATGGGCATCTTGACCTCAAAAAAAGTCAGTCATGAAGATGGAAAAGTTCAAATTGCTTTGGTTCAAATGATGTATTGTGTTATAAGACAGTGATTCTATAGCATCTGTAAGGAATATACAGTATCCCAAGGATTCTTTACCTAGTTAAGTTACAGTTACAGTATAAAGGCAGCAGAAAAACATTCTTTTTAAAGAATTCTGAGAATATAACAGCTACGGGACTCTGTGTTAATATTACTTGAATCAATACAGAAAACAGGAATTGATGTAATTATTTAACAGATTTATACCTGAAACAACAGGAGAGTATACATAGATCCAGACAAAGAATTTGGCAAAATTCAACACCCATTCATGATAAAAACTAGGAATAGAGTGAACTTCCTCAATCCCGTAAAGAGCGTGTTTGAAAAACCTACAGCTAACATAATGGACATAAACGACTGAATATTTTCCCCCTAAAATGGAGCCCTGGTGGCATAGTGGTTAAACTTTTGGCTGCTGACCAAATGGTCAGGAGTTCGAATCCACCAGCTGCTCCTTGGAAACCCTATGGGGCAGTTGTATTCTTGTCCTGTAGAGGTGCTATGAGTTGGAATTGACTTAATAGCAACAGGTTTGGGTTTTGTTTTTAAGATGGGAAACAAGGCAAGGATGTTTGCTCTCGTTACTTCTATTCAGCATTTTACAGGAGTTTTTAGACAGTGCAGTAACAAAGAGAATAATAATAAAGCGCATACAGATTTGAAAGGAAAAAAGTAGCTTGACTTTTATAAATGATCCAACTCTGTACCTAGAAAATACTAAAGAATCTTCA